TTTAGCAACCAAAGTGATTTTCCCTGTGTCTGGACTTACACATCCTCAGCTAATGGCTGTAGTGGAGTAAAGGCTCCTTTGAATAATTAGATATTGATGTGCATCGATTTGCCATAATTGCAGGGATAAGGGGGGAACTCACAAGTAGCTGCCTCCTCTCCAGGCTTCTTTTCCTTCTTTTCCCTGTTTTTTTTTCATTCTATTTTCAACATCGCTGTCCCAACCAAAACCCTTTCTATGTCTTTCATCCTCACTCATTTCTCCTGTGAGCTTACACCCTCTCTGGTTCTCGGACCACCCAGTCGGCAGCTCCCTGTGCGCTCCAGCTGTTCCCCTGCTGTGGCTCCAGTTTGTGTTACTTTGTTTCTGCATGGCTACGATTGAGCCTGCCACCTCCCCTCCCTCCCCCATCGCTGCCCATCCAGCCCCATTTCTTTTCCCCTTGCTGCGTTCTTGCCCATGTCTCGTTCCTCTCACTGCTCATGTCCTGAAAGAATCGTCGAAGGGGGGCTTTTGTGTCCCGTGCAGGTGTCCCGGGTGGGTGAAAAGGGGGCGCCAAGTCTGCGGCTTGCCTACTGTCAGGGAGGGAGGTTATTCAGCCCGGGGATCCCCCACCTGTGGCAGGTCCTGACCCACATGAGTCAGCCAGTCTCTCCTGGCCTATTGAGCCTTTGTGGCCGGACGCTATTACTCTCTGTGTGGCTAGATACACACAAGAGACCTGGCAGCGCTACAACGCTGCTTGTTCCTCATGAGTGATTCATGCTTAGACACTCGTCCACGCTGCACTCCAGTCCATACTGGTTTGAGGTGAGAAAGGGGAACACAAGTGTCGAATGATGTCAAAGAGAACAGTTAGACTGGATTTACAGTGGAGTAAATGAATGAATATAGCTGGGGTGAGCCGGAGCCTGAAGGTGGCGTTATGTTACGACAGGACAGATCCATGAAAACCACAGTATGCTGGGGAGAAAATAACTTTAGGTATCTAGCCAACATTCATATGTTCAGCAAATGATTCAGATTCTAGTCATATCTTGTTTTTTTTCTGCCACTCGGCCTAGACTGTGGGGGGTGGTTCCCACTTCCGCACTGATTGTTTTCTCCTTGCCTAACTCTCTTAATGTATATTTACCCACATTACGCTGTGATAATAATGGTATATGAAGTCAAGAAGACTTATTAGACAAACGTTAAGGCATCTCAGATCTGAACTTGTGCAGTTGCCTCAGCTTGCCCTTTGGAAAAGCACTTTTCCAAGAGTAGAACTGTTTTACCAGTGTGAGAATTCTAAATAGATTTCTTTTTTTTGCAATGGTCCAAAAATTCAAATAAATACTGTTGTTTTCTGTAACTATCAAAATGATGAAGCAGTATTAAGAA